TAATATTAGTGAGCAATGTAACATAATGCAACAAAGTAAATAAATTTGACAAGCAAAAAAAAAAAATTATCTACTTAATAACTTCATAACAGCAAACACTACAGGGATATAAGATTTACTTCAAATGTTGAGTGAATGTCTATGAAAAACATGTGCACTTTACATAATTTGTTTAAATAAATCTCCTTTACGACTTGGATGTAATTAAGAAAATGTCTTCTGGTCTATTGGAAAGTAAAATTCACTCGATACTGGCAAGTGAGAGTTACTTTATATTGCAGCATTAAATTTTACTTAAATCATTTGCTTGTAAATATTTACAATATATTCCTTAAGTAAATCTTATGAGTTGCTGTTTTTTCAGTGTACAAAGTAATCATACCTACCATCTAGGTGTTGTTTGCTTTAACAATTTAGAGCTCAGACTTAAACAAGGAGTTCATCAAGCTCACAGAAAATTGAAAGTGACCTGTTTCAATTTCCGACAGATGCTCTGTTATTTTAAAACTGGTCCGTCTGCATGCAGTTGTCACAGTTATTTCTTGCATTCCTCATGGTTGTCTGAGTGCCACTGCCTAGCCTTTAGAGGTCTTCACCCCCTTGTAAGTATATCTCCTCCAACACATTAACCCATTCACCACAAACATGATCAGGTTAAAAGCTTTTACAAGCTGCATAATATTTCCAACCATATAAAAGTGAAATCATATGAAGTTAGACTACGTGTGAAGCCTTTGTAAGTGTACCTTGTGTTGCCTTATAATTCAACTCAAAGGCAAAACTAGTACAGATCCCCACAGGTCATTCATCACTGCTGCCATCAGACTTTACAATGCCACTGCACTATAACCTGGTGTAATAACACTACAATAACTTATACTGTTTATCTATTAAACAAAGCAGAAACTGTACTTTACCTGCCACCACTTTACTGTACATAAGATACTCTATACATAAGTCACATTACATCTCTCCTTTATTTTTATTTTTCACCATCCACTGTATGTATCTGGTTGCATTGTATATACTGTGTGCCTCTTTTCGTCATTTATGCACCTTCTGTGATATCACAAGTGAATTTCTCCATTATCAGATTACTAAAGTTCTGTTGTATTCTATTCTTTTCTAACTCTCTCTGTATCTAAACTAATCAGATGGATACCACCCAAGTTTAACAGGCTTAAAGTTGCGTGTTGATATACATTTTCTTTAATGTTTTTTTTAGGTCATGGTGCCAATACAGATGGGATTAGTAATTTTGTAGAAATCCACTTTTTATTTTGTATTTTTTATTCCCTCTGATAAAATGTAATCAGTCAAGTTAAGGTCACGTTGTTTTATTGCTGAAAAAAACAACCGTGTTTTTAAGATTTTACACCTCTCTAAATATGGAGGGCTGTATTTGATTTTGAAAAATAACCCAACTATCACATTTTTCTTTTGTTTTCCATCTACTCGAATGATGCAATGTCTCACCCTGCTCTGGGACACCAAACAGTGCAGAGTGCTGTCCTGTCGGCTGATAAGCTTTAGCCAAACAGTTTGAGGAGGAACCAGGTTCTTCTGCAGCCAGATCTTTCCTTCCGGTGTTAGCTCGACTCCAGCCAGATGCACCCACAGCCGAGATGTCGACACATCTAAACAGGGAACAGAAAAAGATTACCTAAGACCCATATGACAGTGAATAACTCATTAAAGCTAAGCTGTTAATTTTTTTTTTTTTTATCCTTAAATGCACGATCTGATTCATTCATATACACTTTAGTTTCACATTGAGAATAGAGCTGAAAACTGTGGAAACTAAATAAACTTATAAACTATAGAGTTCAGGAGCCTAATAAAATCCTGCTGTATACAGAAAGTTTTTTTTTATTTTCTGGCAAATGTATCAGTACTGTAGAATGTTTGAGGAGGGCAGATAAGGAAATGTAGTACGTGTGGTTTTCTTCCACTTGTTTGATGTCCAGTTAGGATACACTTTTAGTTTAGTAAAAACAAAAATTCCTCCTAGGAACCCTCTAACCCTATACCATGTGGGAGAAAGCCTGTGTCTAAAAAAAGGTTTTCTCATTACATGAGATGGAAGCTGAAGTTTTTCCCCATCATAAAAAAAATGTGTGTGGCAGAACAAACCCCAAACATACCCCAATCATCCCCACTCTAAAACATGGTGGTGGCAGCGTGGGAATGGAGGAATGGAATAAGCTAAAAACAAGAAGAAAGCCTTGTTAACGGCAACCAAATATTGGCAGTGGGGTGGGGCCTCATCTTCCAACACATCTAGGCTCTACAGATTATTACTTTAGGAAAATGAGGACAGATGAAAGACAAAGAAAAAACAAAACACTTTGCACTCTGCACATTGAACTTGTGATTGTAATGTGAAAGAATGTGAAGTTCAGATGCATATTGTACCAAAGGCAGGTATCTTCTGCAAAATAAATTCTAGATGAGACAGTTAATGATAATAAAACTATGTTGTCCAATAGGTCATCAATGTTAATCTAATGAACTTCCAATACGAGTCCGAATCTGACAGCAAAGTCTAAAAATGACACAATGATATTTCAACTAACAAGATAAAAGACGCACAAACAGATGTTCGGATAATTATCATTGAAGATGTGTAAGTTTATTACAACTTCGTATTGGCTGCCTGTTACGTGTCAGAACTTAAGTTTTAATCTAATTAAGACAGTTTCTCTGTCTGGATATACAGTTACAATCTTCATTCTGTACGTGGCAAAGATTTGGAAATGGAATGAGAGCGGTACAGCTAAGAGCGAAGTGTAATATTTTGATAAGGCTGGAGCCATGGATGTCTATTCATCTGCTAACATGTATGATGTAAAATAAGATGATGTGGCAGACTGGAGATGTATAAAATGCCTTTTTAACTGTTAATGTTGCCACTTCCTGAGAGGTGAGCCCGGAGGTGAGCAGCTGCCTTCTGTACATGCTAAGCAATTTCTCTGATCTGAGTAAGATTACAATTTCTATCAGATTCTGTTATTTAATACATATAAGTTATGAAGTGTTATTTAAAGAGTTTGTCCCGAATGATCTCTTTTCAGGAAAAAGAACCAGAGAGATAAAGCATCAAGGTGCATACACAGAGTCTATTTAACAAATTGTGTTTCCGCCCGGTTAAGAAAAGAAACTTGATGGGTTTGAGGTTTTATTTTGAAGCCCTGATAAGGGTTGTTTGATTTGTTTAATCAAAAATGCTATTTTATTCCAGCTTCCCTCTACCCTAACCACAAGCATATATATGTTTGACTTGACTGTTATTTGTTCCAGAGTCAATGTCACAGGACTGGTGAATGAAAATATGTTTACTTTAAGCTTAAATGTATGCATCTGTGCACAAGCTGCAAATCTTTTTTCTTATGTATAGCAGAAAACCTAATTGGAGTATATTACCGCCACCTAAAGGACCAGAGTGAAAAGGTTTGTGACAGCTATCATTAAATGGAACAAGGCCAAAAATTAAGTACTCTGCGACTATATTGCAAATCCAGTTACTTGTCCAGCCCTAGTCCTGATTTACCAATCATTCTATTTTAGAATAATTTGAAAACACTTTTAGTTTTTAAAACACAAAAGTGTAATCCATCTAATTTATCTGAGATATTATATCGTAGTAGCTCTCCTAGGCCTGTGCTCTTCAGGTTTTAATAGTGCAAAAAGAAAGTAATAAAGTATTAACTAATCTTTTTCGTATTTAGATCTTATTACCTGCAATTTATCTAACTTATTTTTATCTAGTTACTAATCAATGTGTTATCCTTTATTAACTGTCAATAGTTCTAACTCCTATTTTTTATTATTTTTAGAAATATTTACAAAACAAAAGTATTCTTTTTTTATAAGACTCCCTTTTTCTTAATTTTAGAGCAAAATTATGTCTAAAATGTTTGTTTCCTTTCTGGTAAAGGTTAGAATAATCCTGTGCATAACTGTAAGTTCAATATATTTTTGTGAACATTAATAAGTTATAACATACCTTTTTAACTGGTTTATCTGTTTGTTTTTGGAGTAAGGACATCTGTCCCTAGTTGTCAAGGCATACCTGAGCAAATTTATGAAATATGTAGAAAATCTGATTACCCCAACATTACCCTGCTGCTTTGACAGTAATGGAGAGATGACTGGCAGATAAATTGGGATGTGCTCGACTTCAATTCCTCTTTCAGTGACGGAATGAACTTTCCCTCGAAGGCTGACGTTCCTCTCAATGAAACGGGAAGGGATCTCAGATGCAGCTTGAAATTTTGTGATCTGAAGAGATGGAACAAGAGTGAGCAACAATATTTTAAGGAATACCTGGATTACTTTAAACAGGGTGTTGCAAAAATTAACTTTTTTACATTTTTGTCTGGATTTGTGACGGCTTAACGATAAGAGTTAGATCTAGACTTTGATTGGGCTATTCAAAGAAATAATATCATTTAATATGAGCCATTTCTTTGTTTGTCTAGCTGCGACTTTAGGGTCACTGTCCTGTTGGAAGGTTAACCTAAACCTGAATGAAGTAAATCCTCAGTATAGTTTGATGCTGCCCCATGTAGGTACATTCAAAGCCTGGTGACATTCTAAATTTTCCTCCACATTTTTTTAGATCTAACCCCGAAGTTCAATCTTAAACCTTGTGCCTCCTTCTTTCCGAGGCAAAGCCAGAAATCTTTTCATAAGGGTGGCCAGATAGGTACCAATGTGCACTGAGGGGTGGCTGAAAGCGGATAGCCGGCAGAAATTCAGGGTCACTCTACACTTTCCATTAAGAAAATTAATGGGCAAAACATCTGTATTTTCTTAAGCCTTTACTAATGAATATATATATAAATGTGTAAATTCTATATTTACACATCCATGCTGTCTAAATTAAAGGTATACTGGACAATCTTCCAGCATTGAGTTCGGGCGGAAACATACTGTAATTTATTACCTACATTTCTGGAAAAAAAAAACGTTCCAATATAATTTTAGCAATATTTGTTATTATCTATTTATCATGTAATTATCTATCTGTAATGACATGGAAGACTCCTAGATGACTTGCAGAGACATAACTTTCTCTTTCCCATAAAACAAAAACTAGCTTTTAAAAGAGCATGAATTTTGTATTTATAATTTTGTATTTTACTTTACTGATGGGAGTAATTAATTACCATATTTTTTGTCAGTTTACTGTTAATACAGGAAGAATTAAAATGCTGAATTAGAAAATTTCACTACTTTTAAAAAGGAACTGCTGGTGAAGTATGTCAAAATGGGAAACCCTAGTAGGGATGGCCAGAGATTGGCTAAGGGTGGCCATGTCCACCCTTGGCCCTCCATCTCGCTCCGCCACTGCCTAGCATAGATAATTTAGTTGAAAGCCATTTCATTGAGTTTGTAGTTTTGCAATACTCAGGGGCGGAGCGAGATGGGGGGCCAGGGGTGGCCATGGCCACCCTTAGCCAATCATTGGCCACCCCTGTGGCCACCCGTACCCTTTATTTCCCTCTAATACAGATGGTGGCAGCAGTAATACTCTCAAGTGGAATATTCAAAACATTTTAATTTTACATATATTACAATTACTTGACAACAAAAACACTTATTATTAATTATTTACATCTATATACTATCATTAAAGATGATAGGTACAGAATTGATGCTCTTTTCAGAACTAGATTTTGTCTTTTATGAGTTGAAGAGAAAATAATTTGTCTCTGCAAGTCATCTAGGAATCTTCAGTGAAATCATTGATAAATAACTATTTTAATACAAACTTATTAAATAATCAATATATAGATGTTAGTACTTGTAAATATCAATTTTATGCAGAATGATTACTGATAAAAGAAGGTAAGTAATGACAATGAAAAAGATGTTCACTCAAAACCTGAAAGAATTTTATCCACTATACCTTTTATCTAGAAAGCACGGATGTTTGAATATACTTGTCTATTTGTTAGCAAAGGCTGTAGGAAAGTATAGTTTTTCTTTATTTAGATTTATTTATTATTGATTTTCCTGTTGGAAGAGTGTAGACTGACCCTGAGGTTCTGGTTCCTATCTACTTTTGGCCAACCCTCAGTGTACATTAGCTAATGCCCGGCCACCCTTAAAAAAAATTTCTTGCTACGCCTCTGGCGATACTCTATTTTTGAGTATGCCACAACTTGGATCAATTTTATTTGCAAACAGCATTTTGAGACCATATAATCTTAACACTAATGGACAACTTTGTGCTGCACAATTAGAATTAATTGACCTGTCTGTCATGGTTTTTGTTCTGTTGTTTTCTTTTGCGTATTCAGTTTTACTTTGCTCCATATTTTCAAGTTTTATTGGTTTAATTCCTATTTTGNGCCACAACTTGGATCAATTTTATTTGCAAACAGCATTTTGAGACCATATAATCTTAACACTAATGGACAATTTTGTGCTGCACAATTAGAATTAATTGACCTGTCTGTCATGGTTTTTGTTCTGTTGTTTTCTTTTGCGTATTCAGTTTTACTTTGCTCCATATTTTCAAGTTTTATTGGTTTAATTCCTATTTTGTTGTGTTTTCTGGATATATTTGAGTTCTTAGGTTTTTATTTGTTGCACTCTTGTGTTGGTCTTCTTTGTCCTATAGCTCCTTTCTAGACTCCTCTCTTCACACCTGCCCCCAATCTGCTCGTTAGTCTTCTTTGTTCAGGCTCCATAAATACTCTCCTTCTGCAGTTCCTCAGTGCTGGTTCCTCGTATTACCCTGGCTCCTCATGATTGTTTTCCCCTGATGTCTCCATGGTTCTGGTTTGTTTTACATTTTTCATGTTGGACTTTTGGATTCCTGCCTGAATTTTTTATAAACATTCAATTAAACTTTCGAGAAACTCACCTCTGCCTCCCTGCCTAAGCTTAACCAAACCCTGACACTTTCTAATGTGTCAAAATTATACAACCAGTGTGAATACTTTTGGAGGGCATCTGCAACGTGTCATACCTTTTTTTTTTTTTTTCGCCACAATTGAAGTGATGTTTGGGTTTCTTGACCTTAACTTGTGATTCAGACCACATTGAACAGCAGTTTGAGCCTAAACCTTACCACTCTGATGCTTTTTGCCAGGACAATCACACCAGTAACAGCCAGTCCAGTGCTGATGTTCTGTGTGAGACAGAAGAGATCCGTGAGGAGTGTTTAGAGGTGACAGGTGGGGAGAAATATCACACCTAGTAGAGCCTGTTATTTGACAATGACAGTAGTCGTGACAGCTGCTGGTGATGGGGTGTGAACACTGACACCACAATGCACAGGGGGAGTGTTTGACGTTTTTATTTATTTACGGGAAACCTTCAAAGTTGCATTACTTCCCTTTTAAATGTAAATTGTGTCATAAAATCGCCAACCCACTTCTCTATACCACTGCGTCCAAACAAAGCGAAACGAAGCGTCCTACCCGCACAAGAGTCAGGTGATCGTCTGCTAACTGGGAGATAAATGACACGACGTTACGAGACTTCTGGTTTTCTGGGTCTCTTTGTTGGATGTCCCTCCCTCTCTCCTCGGTTTCTGTTTCCCAGGACTCCGGCATGTTGTTGACATTTTCTGGATGAGCCGCAGGCCCCGCCTTCATGGGAGGTTCATGCAGACAGAGGGCTGGCTTGGAGGCTCCCCCTTGTGGTGTAATGGGGAAAGACAGGCGCGCGCTTGAACTTATCAAGTTTATATTAGAAAAAAAAATACAAAAAAATCAGAATTTAGTAACTTCAGTTATCTTTGTGTGTTGAATTGTATTTTCTAATGTTTTTTTGACATGATGGAAAGATGTATTTCTATTAAGGGTTTTGATTTGTAGAATAAACTTATAAGTGAGTTAAAGCAAGCTGAAAATTAGTTATTTCGATGAGTCGATATGACAGAGGATAAGCTGATGTAGTTTGTCTATTTTTTTTGTTGCTGTTCCTCGTTTTCTGTGTATTGATGAACATAGTCTTTTTTATATATATATATATATATATATATATATATATATATATATATATATATATATATATATATATATATATACATAATTATCTGAGTTGAATAATTTATTGAAAATGGAGGCAAATATCTTTTTTTTTACTTCTTTCTGCTCCTTTTCTTTCATTTGATGTTGCCTGCACAGTTTTTCTTTATGTTGTTTTCTTTTAATGAATGACCGAATTAATAAAATAAATAACATGTCTACCAAATGCAAAGACTAAGCAACCTCCTAAGCAAGAGACAGATCATGACACAGTAGAGGGTGGCTCTGAGCAGTATACACATGTATAATTATAGGCTATCATATTGTTAATACACTTAATACAAGTTTAAATATTAATACAAATATTTAAGCTGCGATAGCCTTACTGGATAAATATGCAGCGTTGTGTTTTTCTTTCTGTGTGTGTCTGAGACCTGTGTTGTCAATATGGCTCTTAGAATATATGTCCCAGAGTTAGATGATAGCCCAACAATTTGCTTTGACAAGCAGACCATTAGGACTGTTGCCATAACGTTTCGCTTTGTTCTTGTATATGAAACTTAATTGAAAATTATTTTGGGACTAAAATTGTATATAACAAACACAGAGACTGAAAAGGAGGTGAGAAAGAAAGAGGGAATGCGAACTAAGATGAGAGAGGAAGAGATAGAGACAGGAATTGGATCATGAAAAGAGAAAATAAAACAAAACAGCAAAAATAGAGACAGAGAGAATATATGGTAACTCCTCATGAGAGGAATGCCAAATAGAGAACATAATGGCAAAAAGAAGACAACAGACAACCAATGTAAACATGGAAGAAAAGGTTCAAGAGCAGCAGATATCCCTTATATCCATGTGTGTGGAAGGCAAAACCTAAGATGATTACATTATTATTATTATTCAGCGTGGTTTATAGCTGTAGCTACAGCTTATTATTTAGCATTAGTGTGTATCCATGAATACCTGGAACCAAATTCCAGTGGTATGTATGGATGGGCATGCTCGTGTATAAAGGATTTAAAAAGCCTCTTCAGAAGCTTTGTGTTCTTGCATTCATGCCCCCCATCACTTATAACAAGTTTGACTCAACCATAAATACATGCTACTTACATTCCTCCACTGTATACTTCAGCTATATTTGCAGAGATCTTACTTGGGAGTCCAGATTTCCCCATAGCACATGGGTATCACTCAGGAGGGAAAAAAAAGTATTTCATTACAGAATGTCAAGCTAATGAATAGAAAATCTCTTTATTGTCCCACAATGTGGAAATTGAGGTGTTACCACAGCAGCAAAAGAATATAGCAAAAGTGGTCACACAAATGTAGACCTTAAAAAAGTATGTAAAATAAAAGAATAAGTGACATAGATAAGAAAATAAACATAAAATTATTGTACTGTACAGTGTTTTTGCAATTTAAATACTGTGCATCTAGAGAATAAATAATAAACGGTTGTGGGCATTTTTAAAGTAATGGATATGTGGAAAAAGTAGCAGCAACACCATATATGTGCAAAATGACAGCACTTTATTTAACTGACTAAGACATAAAATGTGCAAAAATCAGCATGAATGTAGCAACTTATTAAGGTTGTTGGGAGCAGTAATGGTTATAAAGTCTTATAGCTGCTGGGAGGAAGGATCTGTGATAACGCTCCGTGCATTTAGGGTGCAGCAGTCTGTCACTGAAGGAGCTCTTCAGTTCAGCATTAAATTATCTATACCCCTCCAAATGTATTTATACCGTTGTGTTGTTTATGATCTGATACACATTAATCAATGGTCAATTAAATAATGAATCAAAAGTATTAATCAAAAGTTTTTTTTTATTAAATATTTATGTAAAATTTGCATGTCAATCATATTTCTATCTCTCTGTGTTGAAAAGCTTTGCAGCCTTGCAGAAATCAAACTCTTCACAACTGCGGCCCAGTGTTCTGCATCTTTTTTTCTGATATTTTAATGATTTCATGGTGGCTAGCTCCAAGTCTTTGAGGTGGCAAAGCATCCTTGCTGCCACCTAATCTTTAGCTCCTTCGATACATTCTCTGTCAGATTCAAGCCAGGCCTCTGAACTGGCTGTTCCAAAACTTTAATTTAACTTATTTCTATAGAACCATGTGGGAAAAATTTAAGTTTACTTCAAACCAAAATCTGTTACAAAAAGTGTTGGCTTACTTTAATATACCAAGGCACGATGAAGGCAGTGACAATTTGCAGAAGCAAATATGGGACAAAAATGAAGGCTAAAACAATCAGATTAAACATGAATAATCAATTATGGAAATAATCGTCAACTAATTTATTAATCGATTAATCTTTAACTGCAGTATAGAGACTCTAAAACACAACTTTGGTTGACAGAGTAACCCACTTAGAGCAGTAATTATATCAAAGTTGTCAAAATGATCTAAAGATCATTTGAATTTAAGATAAAAAAAAAATGTTTTCAACTGTCAATATGCTCCATCCAGATGTCCGCAAGTGAAAAAGTTCGTGCTTCCCCTGATTTAATTTTGTAAAAAATCTTTAAGGAACCTTTTGCTATCCGATAATAAATCGATTAATCATAAAAATAATCAACAGATTAATCGATTTGTAAAATAATTTTTAGTTGCAGCCGTAGACAAAATACACTATTAGCTGATTAACATAGATTTAAACTGTTCAGAGAGGCTGCCAAGTGGTCAACAACATCTAGGAAGCAGTTCTAGAAATTTCTAACAAACCAAAGACCCCGGAAACTGAAATTATCAAGGTTTACAGAACCGCTATCCGACCTTTGAAAAGCCCTTGGCTTTGGAGGGGGGCTGGTAAAGGAGCTAAATACCTCTATAAGTGTTGTCAAAAAAAATCATGTGTCTGGACCAAGGAGTAGGGTGGTATGAGAACTATTCAAAGATGAGGGATAATGTATTACTGTCTCAAGAAATCAAGCCTAATATTTTAGTAACAATGGCATAATGCATGGATTAAGACATCAGCATATCACAAAAAGTAACCCCATACATGGCATGAACAGTGTTTGTGGCAGTATTATGATGTGCTATTGCTTTTCTCAGATTGAAACTAGTTTTTTTGTCCAGGTGAATTAAGTCATGAGAAGCTTTCTTCCAGTTTAGCCCCAGGGGCCCTTAGGTGTCTGCTAGGAGGTGAAGCCAAAATATAAATCAAATCAATACAATACAGACTTCATGGGAGAACAATAAAAATGGAATGGCCAATCAAGGTTTAGAACTTCATCTAACAAAAATGTTTGGAATCACCTGAGAAGCACCTCAAATAAAACGTTACCCCATTCAATAAAAATGGTAAAGTAATAAAAAGCAGCCACATATTGTCCTAGTATTGTTTAGTTTAATACGGGAAAAGAGCATGTTGAAGACTACTAATACAGGAGTCAGCAACACAAATGCACTGCTTTGGACGTTGTCTCATTAAGTAAAGTTTTTTCTCCAGCTGCAAACCCCATAAAAACTATAAAAACTACAATTGTAAGATAATAGATCACTTCTCTGTAATTAAAACAAAACAGAAAAAAAAATTCAAAGCATTATGGTTTTGTTAGTTTATCAAATTTAAACTTAGTTTATTAACTTTAAACTTAATCTTTAAATTAAACTTGCTCTTAATCAGTGTAACAGTTATTTGAAAGGTTTTTTATATGGCTCATTTAAAGGTTGATTTGATCTTAAATGGTCCAATGAATAAGTTTGAGGCTGCTTAGTGGACCCCTTTATGCAGGGACCCCCAAGAGCACTAATTAAAAAAACAGTCAGAAATCTATGAGCCAGAATTTACTATTTTGTAACAAGAAGATGGATTTCTGTGGCAATATTATAAGATACATAACTTCAATTATCTTCAAAATCATCAAAGCAAACTGCAACCACTCATATGGCAAATAAGTAAAGTTAACAGCCTTTCTCTGCTTATCTAATGAGTTAGGTAAACATTTATCTGATCACATATTAGAAACCATTTAGCCTACTTAACATTAACTGCTGTATTTTGAAAACAAATCTTCCCTAAAAAATTTTATTAGATTTTTACTGAAAATGCTGAGTTTTGATAGCCACTATTCTCATCTGTTGTATGCTTCTATCAGATATCGGTACGGTCTTTATGTTTTTATCAGCCTTAATATAAAGGATTTCATCTTTTTAGAAATGTCATAGGACGTGAATAAGTTTCTGCACCTGCTGTGTTCTGTGAAATTCAATGTAGCTTATGTATTTACAACATGAAAAAAAGATAAGAGAGAAAGAAAGAAAGAAAGAAAGAAACAAAGAAAGAAAGAAAGAAACAAACAAACAAAGAAAGAACTTTGCAATCTTATTTATATGCTTTTCCTCAATGATACTGACAATTAGCATAAGTTATTTTTAGAGGTGTCAAGTAACAAAGTACAAATACTTTACCTTACTTAAGTAGAAATGTTGGCTATCTATACTTCACTGGAGTCACTATTTTTAGACAACTTTTTACCTTTACTCTTTACAAACTTTTAGCAACTATCTCTACTTTCTACTTCTTACATTTAAAAAATAGACGCATAAGTCTATTCATCTATTCTTTTAAGCTCATGTCCGTTATGGCCTGTAAGTATTAAAAAAAAAAAGAAAACCATTAAAATACCTTGTTTTGTCCAGACCAAATTAAATAGTTTTTCAAGATGATGGAAAGTTAAATCTGACAGTGTTAACAGTTATAAAACTAATAAAATAAATTATAAGAAAGTTATCATCTAGAATTGTAGAAAATTTTTCCTTTTATAGGGTAGAGCATTATTTTTACTCTAAGTAAGTTTAAAAATTATAGTTTTACACTTTTACTTGAGTAAAATGTTTTAGTTGATACCCTAACTTCTACAAAAGTGTTTTGAAACAGTAAGATTTATACTTCTACTTAATAAACATTAATACTTTTGACACCTCTGCTTATTCTAGTTCTTTTGTTTCGTCTAAGCATATGCATGCACCATATATGTTATGTATGTTTTGGTAATTATAGTAATAAATATTTCAAAATCTTTACAAAAGAAAATAAAAACAGGGTATAAGTCTGGAAATTTAGACCTGTGCAGGAAAAGTTCATTATAATTATTGAAATCATCCCATCAAATATCAGAAAAATGACATTGATATCTCGTTTTGTCTATATATTTGAAAACTTGCTGCAGTGTAAAGAATCAAGATCTTAACAGCAAAAAAGAGCAAAAGATCACTTTTAAATTTCTAAATGAAATCTTAGTGATTTTTTTCCTCCTAATTGACGTGATAGACAGAGAAATCTGCTCCAAATTGTTCATGCTCTCACTATGTCAAACTGGACTAATGACACATTTTTTTCCAGATAACAAGAAGTGCATAAAACAGTTATGACAGACGCTTATGGAGCTCTCATCTTGTAAACTGTGAAGTCATGGAGCTTCTTGAAGCCGGATGACGCCCCCCATCAACACGTTTCGACCAATGGGAGCCGAGAGGCAGAGTTGTCCTCCTGTCCGCCATTAAAAGAATGCAATCCATGTAGTGAAATAATGGAAATCTGTAGGAGCCATGGATTCAGGCAGAGGAGAGCAGCCGACAAGTAGATACGGGGATTCTGGTGTTTAATCTGTATTCGGTTCTGTTTGATTATGACGGAGCGACGTGTTTTTTTAGTGTACTGGAGGATTGAGTAGCTCATTGTTTTATTGAGGCTCTGGTATGTTAGCTCGGGTGCTAGCAGAGGCTAGCCGAGATCAGGGGGAGGGGAGAGTTCCTTTGCTTTGAAATTGTTTCTAGCTGACATTAGCATTAGCATACCAGGGACCAAGCTTTTGTGATGAAGTTTCTCTAGCTCATTTTTTTTTTGTTTCGCATTTTAACTTTTCTCTCGTTGGTGTAATTGATAATATTATGGATATGTTAACTGTTTGATATTTCGGTAATGTAGCCGTGTGCTTGCGCCTAACCTGTTCAGACAATACATTTCAAATAGGATTGATGAATCAAATTGCTAGAAGCCTACAGTTGTCGCTCCCTGGCTGCCTGTCTAACGTTAGCTTAGCCGCCAGGCTAGCGGCTGGCTAGCGCCGGTTAGAAGTTGCTTAGACGTCGCTTCCTAGCTGAGTTACAACCTATCGGCCCCCCCTGCGCCCGAAAGGCGATTGAAACAATGGACTTTAACGTTTTTGTCACGGTGTGAAAGGATGAGTTCGTGCTTTGTACCAAACGGGGCCAGTTTGGAGGACTGCCACTCCAACATCTTCTGCCTGGTAAGTCTCCGCTGCTAGCGCTATGTTGCTCAGAGGCCAGAAAGCCATTTTGGCTAATAAGGCAACAAGCTTTGTAACGTCAATTGCAGATTGGCGTAAAGGAATTACTCGGCCTGAAACTTGCAGATCGTGATCTGAAAAACTTTTAAAACAGGGGAATTCCATATTGCATTACACATTTCAAGAAAATGATTGTTTATACGGGCTGGGTGATCTTGTGTTTACAATGTAGTTGTTAGAGGAATTATGAGAGCTAGCTACTGTAACAGGTCGGGTCAACAGGCGAATTAACTTGAACAACAAATATTTTCTATAGATCTGCACTCAGATCGCTCTAATTGAAAGTTTAAAATTCAAGTAATAATCGAAAACCTTTCTTATTTAGAAGTGTGAAAGTGCAAAGTTATGTTTTAAAGTAGGTTTTTGTAAGTTAGGCCTGCAAATGTCAACAATTCTGTTACCATTGTTTTTCTTTGTTGTATAAAATTTAAAAAAATAGTTTTTAGCTCATTGATGTGTTTTTCTAGATGAAATGCACTCATGCATAGCTATGGAGTCAACAACTGACAGTTGTCCCCTTCACTCTGTTAACAATTTCCTTCTTGTTTGCACTCTTCTTTAGGCTGACTTGACAGGAATAAAGTGGCGGCGTTTTGTGTGGCAAGGACCCACTTCGTCGCCCATCCTTTTCCCAGTGACCGAGGAGGACCCCATCCTGTGCAGTTTCAGCCGATGCCTGGCAGCAGATGTGCTGAGTGTGTGGAGAAGGCACCACACCCCGGGTCGCAGGGAGCTCTGGATCTTCTGGTGGGGGGATGACCCCAGTTTCGCGGAGCTTATCCACAATGAGCTCTCAAGTAAGTGAATGGAGTCATTTGCATGTTTTTTGCAGGATTTGTAACCTTAACATTATCCCAGTTGCTCAAACTAAATCACATGGTATTTTGCATGGATCTATAGGAAATTCCCACAGTGAAATAACTACAAAACACAATTGCATTTTCATGTCAAACTTAGTAGTTTACTTAGTAGTTTTACATGCTGAGATGAACTGCCCCATCAGTCAATCTGCTGAGGTATTTAGCCTGCAGTCGCCGGTAGGATTGTCAACTGTTTATCTTAGGATGGCACACCATTGCTCTCTGTGTGTTATATGTTCAGAAACATTTCCAGACAGCAGAATCTGTAAGCTAGTGAATAATTTGTTCCGATGCAAGAAAATCTTTTCACTAAGGCTGGCTTGGTTAGATTTTCATTTCCATTGGCTCACCAACTATGGAGCAAACCAGTCAACGCCCCTTGTGACTTTGCTACTCAAATCCTCATAACAGATGTTTGGGTGCTGTTATGGAAACTCTTATTCTTACAATAGAATAAAAGAATACAGAAATCAGTAAGTTTGCTGTCTGTGATGCATTTCAAGCAAAACATTAATCATTACGCCACCTTGGGTAGTTTATTTACTATTATTGCATTTTTAATGTCAGCAGTGCATGGTATAATAAACTCACACCTCTCTGATAGGCTGTCTTTGTAGCCCAGGTAAAATCTTAGTTTTTTATGGCTTTTATCAACAATCCGCTTACTTTTAAGGGATTCCCCCATTTAAGTAGCCTTCTTCAACAATAGTTTTTTTTCCTTAAAAAAGGTGACATTTTTTGCATCACATACAAAAAAAAAAAAAACACAAACTTGATTTAGTCACTATGAAAATTTAAGGGGAAAGCAGGTGTTAATATCTATTACTTGATTAGAATCTAATATTAAGGTTAGTGACTACAAATGACCATTGTTAGGTAAATGTGCTATTTGGGAATTTGTTTTAATTTAGTTATTGAGATGAAGTTGATGTATTTGACTTTTGTGCAAATTCTGTATTATAATTGTGTTTTTTTTGTTTTTTGGGGAAAAAAACGTATATTTGACAATTAGACATTTTGCAAAATGGAATTAGATTATCTATGTTAAAAAAATTCAGGTTTATATCTCATTCTAAATTTTAAGTGTAAAAATACTATTCCCATTGACAGATCATCTTATCTACCTGTAGAGTTAAAGGGCACTTATAATACACTATTACACTTATTTTGAAAAGAAAAAGCAAAGTACTGTATAACAGAAATTAACCTTATGCCTGCTGCTATGCTGCTAATAAAGACTTCCAGACCCATGTTTATCTAATACTGATTTGAAGTATGTCCACTTTTCAAACCACTTCTCTGCTTTTAAGAACTTTATCACAAAAGTCATTCTACAGTTACTGGACTTTACATCTACTATTTGTTTTGAAACGGTAGCACAGACAACAATTAAAGGCAGGTCTGATTGCATATTGCTCGACACAACAGGTGAAGAACTGGGGCAGTCTAGTGGATTAGAAGTCTTGTTTTATTAAAAAATTAAATCTTTTAATGACACAATAGCTGAAAAGGTTGACGTTTAAAGATTTTTGTAGACAAAGCAGCTTGATTTCATTCCTTTTTCCTAGTTTATCTGACGGCTTTTAAGGAATATGCCCATGAATAGGTTGAACTGTAGGGACATTATCTGTTGGAAATTTTCAAGGGTTCCAAACTGTAGCTTTGTAAAGCTCTCCAGTTATGCTTCATACTAAGTTATGGAGTTTAACCTATTAAATCCAGATTAAAAAATAAAGTAATGTATTCTGCAATTAATTCAAAAAAATATTTCCCCCTTCAACATAAATTCATGCAAATAAGCGTGGTTTCTTTTTTTAATTGTATCCTGAACATTAAGAACTATAAGAATTGGTAACAACAGCAACACATTTCCTAAATGTCTATATTTCTTTCGAAAGCTGGTTGGCAATAGCTGAAAACGTTTACATTAAAATGTTGAGTTGTACCACAAAATTATTTTGCATCGGTTTTGATAAAAACCACAAGGGTAAAGTTACAGTGACAGACATATTCTCACTAACATAGTCTAGTATTTTCACACACTAATGCTGACTTCCTTTCTTTCTTTCTTTCTTTCTTTTTTTCTTGTGTGAGATGTTGATGCTTCAGTATTTTACTTCCCTTACTGTCCCAGTGTTATCAAATTGACTGGCACCATTAATGAGGCGTGCATTCCATTACATGCTTTTCCTTTGTAGTGCTGCAACAGGTTTGTTTTGCTTCCTTGCTTTGTTTCTGTAAATAACGTTAAACCTCGACAGTACAGAGATTGGTTCAAGTTGAACTGCGCTCAAACCATTTCTCTATCTCTGAGGTAGCAGCACCACCTCTCCTTGGCATTACTGCATAGCCCTCAGGGACTCTTGTCATTAATCAAAGTTGTTGACTTGAAAAGGCTCGTACTTGCAGGGATCTCCACGGAAACTACGACTTCTCTCATTACTGTCATAACTGCACACATTGCTGTATGTCTTTGAGTGCCAGCAGAGGAAGCTCATTGGTTGTTGTTTTTTTTTATACTTTTTTTTATTTTATATTAAACTCAGTATACCTTATTGTCTGTTGCCTCTTCTGCCCTGATTTGTGTGTGTTCACCTCTGCTTGTGTGTAGTATTTGTACTACTGTACTCTGCTAGCATTTGCTGGAAAGATGATACAATTTATGGGAACTTTGGTCATGTTTTAACACGTCAAGAGTTTAACAATCAAGCCATTATTAATCAACTCTGCCAGGATTTCTTTTTACAATAATGTCTAATTTCATTGATGAAGGGCCTGCTCCTGTTAGTCTTTTAGTTTTTTTTTCATCACTCCTTTTTCTTAAGTGAATTAACTACATTTTTTGTTGACATAAATGTGGGCGGTTGGCCAGAAATTCTATGCGCCTCCAACCAACTGTTTTCCTTCATTTAGATGATTTGTCTAAATGTAAAGATTTAATTCAGGTGGTTCCTCAACTTTAAGAGGTCTAATGCTCGGAAGAAAAAAAACAAAACAATCAATGTTGTTTGATATTTAGCTGACCTTAGCTATTAGCAGCAGAGTTGTGCTCTAGGTCAATTTGCTATGTTGCTAAATTGCGAATATGTCTCTGAAATGGGTAGGAATTACTGGCAGGTAGTTTCTAATAGTATTTGAAAGGCCACGTTAAAATTAAAATAATAATAATAATGATGAAAAAGTAGTGAAAAGACCAGTACCTCTTAAAGCCCAGCTCCCTGTCGTGGCAGCCTAATGAACACGCCTCCGGTTTCCTGTTGTTGTTTTTTCCCTTTGACTGATTTACCTTACATTCACCTAGAACATTCAGTATTAGGCTTTAAATTTGACAACAGGATTTTATTCTTTCCCTTTTTTTTTTTTTACCTTCTATTTCTCGTTTCAGGCGAGGAGGATGGTGAGTGGGAGAGTGGCCTTTCCTACGAGTGTCGGACCCTCCTGTTCAAAGCCATTCACAACCTGCTGGAGCGCTGCCTCATGAACCGCGGCTTCGTTCGCATCGGCAAGTGGTTTGTTAAGCCATACCAAAAGGAGGAGAGGATCATCAATAAAAGGTAGGCGTATCGACACTCTCAAGCTGATCTGATCGAATCGAGCATTTTAAGAAAATGCTGGTTTAAGTTCAGATCAGTAGAAGTCTGATTTATGAAAAATTAAGTATTTTGTTTTCATTGTAACTTAATGCACATTTAACATTTGTTTAAAAAAGCTCCCACTTGAAGATGTCATTTCAATTCCATTTAAAAGAGAAAGTTCAAACAGGTCAAAGGCTAAATATTTGTTTTTGAGAGAACACTTTTAACATAGTTAAAGCATATCTCAGCAATGGCCCCTTTCATTGCCATTATAAAGACATTTCACACCAAACCAAAATATGCACAGTCACTGGAGGCAAAAATAGTGATGGAATGTGGTTTGTATTTGTGCTTTCATGTCAAAAATTTGTCGGGGGATTAATTAAGAGTTTATCATGCAATGATCGCCTAATGGTGCTTTTTAACATTTTGTTGTGAAATAATACTCTCAAGAATTTTTTTCGTTGTCTTGAGACTGTGAAAAAACTTGTCGTACAAGTGTTGCAGACAGACATCTGTGTGTTTTTGCATAAAGCAGAGAGAAGTCCTTTTTGGCAGATGTTGTCAAAGCTGTGGTTGAAAGTTAGCTCAACCGTTGCTGGCCTTTCACATCCTTTTAATGATTAAAATTGTCTTTTGGGATTTAGCTGGAGATGTTCTGCTGAAACTGGAATGGCTATTATTAGAATGTTGGTTTCTAGCTATGAGACGTTGCTTTATACAAAGGCAAAGGCTGATACAAGATGGCCTTTTTCTCTGCAAATATTCCTAATTTATACAGTTTTCTGAGGCCTTCATACAAAAAAAAAAGACTTGAGGGAAAAATCTTGTGTGTTTTGGTCAAATAAAACATGTCATATTTGCCATATTTTATTTTTTGAGCCATCATCTTTTCTTATTTTAGAGATGTACCTCATCTCGTTTACCCTGCCCAAGATTCATTGTTAGGTCTCTTGAAGGCCAGTTGTGATTTTTACTGATTCTGATTAACTTTGTTTGGTTAGAATTCCATAAGAATATTAGAGTATTAGTCGTTCTGAAATTCTGTTTAGTATGATGACTTGATTAGTTTCAGAAATTGTCACCTGATTTTATTTTAGAATATATTTCAAATTTTACTAATCACTGAATGTCTGAGGAGCTGCATCTTTGCACTTTCCGAGAGCAAGGCAAACCTGATCTGTGTTCTAAGTTTTATTCCAAACAAAAGCATCACAAAATTATATATATATATATATATATATATATATATATTAGTGAGGGAGAGGGATGTATAGATCATATTAAATACAGTTATGCACAGCTGTTTTGTCATTCTGGGACAGCACTAAAATAGATTTAGTGTTTGCTCTCGAAACAAGGGAACCCTAGAGTTTCCTGACAAGCTAATTTGAGCCTCTGCCTTTTGGCTGGGCTCATGTAACTCATGTGTTTCAAGCACAGCTCATTGATGGTGGTGTGGTTAGTGTGGTTAGTGTGGTTAAAGTTAATCAACACAAGTACGAATAAATTGATCAATTCTTCTCGCTGTATATTTTAGAGCAGTAAACACAGGAGCTCCTTTAACTGAGGTGTTTTTTGTGTGTTACCCTGTCGCCTCCCCTCTCTGTCTGGTAAACACGTCTTTGGAAAATGCTGAGTGTGCACTGTGGTTGTACAACAGCAGTATTAATGAGGACTATTTGGGTGCATTTTCTGGATTTTTAGGCTGTTGGAAATAACACATGTAATGTTTAAGGCTTACAAACCTTTCTTTTTATTTTTGGCTTAATTCTGTTAGGAGCTGCACGAAGATTTGGCAAATCCTTTTTGGTCTTGTGTGTATAGTAGGGCTGAAACAATTAATCAAATTAACAGTGATTAATTGATTATTAAAATAATCGTCAACTAATTTATTAATCAATCAATCGTTAACTGGAGTATAGAGACTCTAAAACATGCCTTTAGCTGACAGAGCGAGCAACTTAGAACTTTAACTTTATTTAAGCATTTTACATCTAAGATCAAAAAAACTTTTTCATCTGTCAACATGTTTAATCCAGGACTCTTGAAATGGAAACATTTAGAAAAAAAATCAAAAAAATAATCGACAGATTAATCGATTTTCAAACTATTCATTAGTTGCAGCCCTAGTGTAGAGTTATGTAGGCTATAAAAAGGAATATAGAAATGGTACTATTCTACAAATGATAGAAGTATCCCAGTATTAATGTATTTTTACCCTGGTTTAAGTTATTTCAATAACTGAAGCAGGTACTGCTATCTCCAGGCCTGAGTTACAGACTCAGATTGTGATAGACTATTTTCTTACTTTATTGTTTTCCTTGTGAGAGAGCATAAATGTTCGGTTTTTGTTTGTTTTGTTTTTTTTATAGTGATTGTATTTGCAGAAAATGAAGTCGTAGCAAAATCACATGCATTCATCAAAGCATAAATGCCCCTAATAGGGGTGTACAACAGGTACGAGAACAACTGACTCATTTATTATTAACCAATGGGTTACAGAAACTTTAAACAGAAGCTAGTTGTTTCTATCAGAATGCCAACATCAGACATTTTAAATGCAGGCCGATAACCTCTGACGTTTGTGTTTGTTTTGTTTTTTTGCTGATGTCCGACTGGTTTCCGATATTGTATATATATCATAGATCAGCTGCACATTTGTGTCTGATCTGTGGAGCAAGCCTAGAGAAAAAAAAATCTAATTTTACTCTGGGATTGTAGAAGTTAAACAGATTGCTGTGGTCCAGATAGGTCCAAACGCTGGGTCAGATGCGGGAACTTTCCTCAGATGCTGTCAGTCAGCTGGTGCTCCTGGTCCTGGCGATGACTCTATGGATTAAACTGCTGCAGAACAGCTGGTTCTTTTTTCGCAGAAGGTGTTTGAGGATTTAACTTCCACATCAAACCATCACTAAAGAGAACTGATTATTCTTAATACCGAGATGAAGTATTTTTTTCTTTTTGAAAATAAGGATCCCATTCAAAAAACCTGTTTCCATGCAGACTAATGAGACACCAACTATGACACGGTGTCAACTTAGGATTTATTGCTCACTACAAAATGGACCCGGACTTTCCTGATTTTCTGAAATACCATCACATCGTTCATCCTATCATTCCATACGAGCTTTTATATATAAAAAGCTTTAAACACTCACAAGATGAAAGTGCTGTACTCGAAGAAAAAAACAGCAATCATGTGATACAAGCTTTGACAACACATAAATCTAAGAATGGTTAGAAGATTTTTAGAAGGATGCAAAAATACTAATGTTACTGAACAAGTGGCTCTTTGGCTTTTTCATTGTGTGAAAGAAAAGGGTGGAGGAGCATTTTAACATATTCTTTGATTTTCATAAAAAGGTAGCATTAGGTGAAGTTTGGTAAAATAGACATCTTCTAAATTTATTTTCAATTAAATGTGACTTTTGTGCTTAATGTTGCTATTGTTTGTCCTTGGTTAATCACTCAATAACAACAAGCAGAAATAGGTTATTTAAGTTTTCCAGGCAGAGAACCAAATTATTTAGACGCTTTAATTCACTTTGCTGACAAGTGCAGAGCAGCAACAAGTGGGGGAGGGGCGGTATTGGATTACTTTCTGGTCTGTAGAGCCAGTGACACCACTTAGTTATTTTTGTAACCTTCATTGAGGCCTCATTAGAAAAGTCTTAGAGAGTATGGTATCAGCTTTTATTATTAAAAATTTTGAAACCATAGCTTATAAGACCGTTGATGAACATTTTTCTCATCTAGGGGAAAACCGATCGATTTGAACTTTCAAGGCTAAAAAACTGAACAGTTTTGTATTTTAGGATTAAAATTATGTTGACTAACTGGGTTTAATTATTTGAAACCATAAGTTGATTGATCTTATTGATTGACTAGTTGTTAAATTATAAGCGACCATTTTCTCTAAGAAGCTGAGTTTTCTTTTTTATCAAGATAATCTTTTTATACTATGAAGGGCTAAATACACTTTTTTTTTTTATATATATTACATTAATATATCTTAACTATTTATTGTGCCAGTTGTGTTAAAGACTGTCTAATTTAATAATACTAAAACCATTTTCTTGCCTATTAAATCTCACCCTATAAGCACACCATAGAAGTTGATGCTGCTCCACCGTGCAGGAAGGCTAAATGGCTGCTATTTCTGTGATAGATTAAAGGTGTTTATGGAGTGCTTATATTTACAGATAGAACCACTTAAAGTGCATTAAATGGATGTAATTGATTAATCGACTTGGAAAAAATGTAGTCTACTAAACCATTAAGCAACAATTAAAAACTGTTTGTTTACATCCTTAGTTCCTACAAACTGTGTCTTCTATACTTTAAGACTAGTAACTGACCTGCTTATTTCAAATGAGGAAATCAGTGACACTTAAATGTGAACATTTTGGTCCTCTGGTCAAAGAACTTCTGCTTTATGTATTTGTAACTCCTATTTCTAAGCACTAGTGTTTGTTTTACCTTTCTCTCTGTACAGCGAGCACCTGTCCTGCGCCTTTACCTTCTTTGTTCATGGCGACAGCAATGTCTGCACCAGTGTGGAGATTGCTCAACACCAGCCTCTTCAGAGACTCAGCGAGGAGCATCTCAGCCTGGCACAGCAAAGCTCCAGCCCCTTGCAAGGTGGGATGATAGTTTTTCTGTAATGATTATATTTCGGGGCTTCCAACACAGTATTTTATAATGAGGGGTTTGATTTAAATCCTCAGGTATAGGTAGGCTTATTTCCTTCCTTTAAGAATTGAAATCAGAATTTCTGAAAATTAAATGTATTTTCTTGTAACTATTTTGATTATTTTTTTTTTTCTTTAATTTGCTGTTTGGATGTTAGAGAACGGCAGTTGTACAATTTCCTTTCACAATGGTAGCCCATTGCTCCCCAAGTGGATGGGTTAAATGCAGACAGTTAATTTTTTTGCTCTGTAATTGCGACTGTGTAATAACAATAAAAAGCTGGGAAAAAAGTCCCCAAACATTTGCGAAAGTTCTTAGAAATTCTAATGTACTATCCAGAACTGCAGATTTGTTCATCTTTTGCATAGCTACACTTTCAAATCTATACAATTTGTTGTTTTTGTTTTGTTTGTTTTTTTTCTCCATTTGTGTAGATTTTATTCAGCATTTCTGAAAAAGGTTTCCTTCAAAAAATAATCCAATTAATACTTTAAAAACTATAATTATTACAATAATGGGATTCAAACTTTAATAATGTCCCATATTGACTAAAATTGTCAGTATTTAGATGTTTTGATATATAAATGGAAATTCTAAAGGTCGTCTTTGAGTGTCACCTTGAAAGTGTTGATCTTGAAATAGTCTGCAAAACAATGCTGTAATAATCCCATTTCTATTTGATTCTAATAAATAGCAGAAAAATATAGACGTTGTTTAGACATCAGAAAAGTAGTAAAGTATTTTTTTTTTTTTCTCATTGCTTAAATCTAAACCTATTTGTTTTTAAATTCAATTAAACAACTTTGTATTTGGATTGATTGAAATTAGACCAGTATTCTTTTTGTCTTTCCATTTCAAACATTAAAAAAGCCCCAACTAGGTCAATGTTTTCTCTATCAATATCCAGAAGTTATCCAGAACAAATAGCAAAGGTTTTACATTTTACGTGGAAATTTAGAGGAAAATCTGTTGTTGAGGTGGGTGTCATGTTAAACCTATGGTCAATCTTCTCCACCAGTCATCCTCAGCCCCTACGGCCTGAATGGGACGCTCACCAGTCAAGCTTTCAAGATGTCAGATCACCCAACGCAGAAGCTCATCGAGGAGTGGAGGCAGTTTTATCCCATTTGCCCTAATCCGAAGGAGGTCCCTGAAGACAAGATGGAGGATGCAGACTGGGAGGATGACTCCCTGGCTGCTGTGGAGGTCCTTGTCGGTAAGGTTTTATAATTATTTTATAAGGCGCCGATGGTCGGCAGGAATGCAAGCAGGTAAGATGCAATAAAACTTAATTTAAGTCTGTTGTCTTTATTTTGCCTTTTTTTTTTTGTCATAACTTTAATATTAAAGGGGTCATTGGATGATTCTATAGGGTATTTGGTGCTGGTCCTTAAGGTCTCTGAATAGGGTGTGTAACAATGGTTGGGCTGAAAAATTAGCCGTTCTATTAGCCTGATGCAAGCCTGGTTCTGAGCCCCTGAATGAAACGACAGGTTTTCTTCCTTTTATGGTATGCTCATGAATATTTAGATGAGCTTTGCGCTGATTGGTTGGTTTACAACAAGCAAACCTGCTGAGCAAAGACGCATCATAGCAAAAAGAACTCTGAAACAACAAATTGTTGATATGGTAGGGTGACCAGACATCCTCTTTTTCCCAGACATTTCCTACTTTTCATACCTAAAAAAATGTCTGGGGGGAATTTCAAAATTGTCCGGGATTGTGGCTGGCACCCGCACCGTGCCCCATACAACACACTTCATCATTCTTCACCTTCACTAGACGTGGACATACTTTAGTATATTCTGCTGCAAAATTAGTCTTATATTTTCATTTTTTACTGGAGGATTCAACCTATTTCACAGGATGCAGAGCTTTGAGTGGTAACTAGGTGACTATAAGAGAGTAAACCGAAACTTATTGGCTTATTTTTCTGACTGATCCGAACAGCGTGCTCTCTGAAAACCAGTCTCCTGGAAAGCTAATTGAATAGAGCACAGGTTTCAAAGGCAACTTCCTTCTCACACCCGCTCTCTCTTGTTGTCTGCGCAATCGATGTAGTTCTAATCCGCACATGGTGCACGAAATATTGTACTGCCTGCACGCTCTAACTCGCATAAAACACCACCTCGCATAGTCTAAAATCCGGGATTATTTGTACGACTCGCTGGCATCCGTGAACCACTATATCAATTAGACTCCTGGAACATCTGTGAGACTTGGGATGTCTGTTACCGGCCCCCAGCCCCCCTTTCCAGCTGAGGGCCCATGGCTCTCTGCTGAGGTCCGGTCCCCGAAATGTCAATTTCGGGGTATGACAAAAGTACAGGCCAGAACCAAATAAAGCAACATCCCAGAATTTGGATTCGCACGTTTTATGGTGGAAGTTTAGAATTGTGAGACTTGCAGAGAAAGGTGGTGTCGATGGGGTTTGAACTTCTCTGTACGTCTATTTCACCCACTGAACAATCGTTATTCATCTATGACAGTGTAAACTTGGTTTTGCATTCTATGACCCCTTTAAAACGTATTAATGTCATAGACTTTGATTATTTTGCCCTGAGCAAAGCTGTAATAGAATTGAGAAATGTTGAAGAAGGATGTATTTTCTTTTTAAAGGACCTTATGTTGCTAGTTTTTTTTTTGCAGGTTTTCTTTTTAATAACAGTTGGATGTGCTTTTTTCCAGCTGGAGTTAGGATGGTTTACCCCTCCTGCCTGGTGCTTCTCCCCCTGTCGGACCTGCCATCCGTGGTTCCACAGGGCTCAGCCAACAATCCAGGAATGCAGAGCGGTGCTCACCATGGTCAGGCAGCTCACCGGGACTCCGCCATGTCCTCAGTCACACTGACTCCTCCAACTTCGCCAGAAGAGGCCCACACTGGTACAGCTATGACTTGAACATTTTATTAACGGTTTCTTCTGTACGATCCTCTAGATTAAAAGTGTTGCCTTTGTTTCTTCTCTTTCCTTAGACTACCAGCCTGCCCAAAGATGGCTGAAGTTGTCTTCAGGGTCTGATTGCTATAGCTCTAACAACACTCTTCATGGTGGGAAAATCCCCCGCAGGCTCTCCAGCCAGATGGTGGAAACCGTGTGGCAGGAGTATAACATAAACCGTGCAGGGATCAAGTATGTGTATTGCCATCCCTTTGTGAAAAAGGAGTGAACATTTCCTGACTGATTTATTCCTTCATCCCAACTAAAACTGTGGCTTTGTTCCAATCACCAGGAGGAAGTTTACAACCTTAACAAATGGAGCCTGTGAGGAAGAGTCAGACAGAGCGGGACTCTGGGATTTTGTGGAACCCACTAACAGACCAGCTTGCAGTTGTTCGAGGTAAAATGAAGGGAACACATTTAATAATCGCTATTTTTGTTATTAAAATAGAATAGCATGAAATAAAAATGACAGGAACAGTTTAACAAGGGCTTATCTAGCAACATTCTGTTGTTTGAAGTTGTAAAATTATATTTTATTAGTGTATTAGGATCATCTGTGATGGGGGTCTTCCTAATCTGAGCTCTTTCATAAAGAGGAAAGAGGTGGTTCAATGTAAAAAAAAAGATGCAGAAATATTTTACTATTAGACAGTTGTAGCCAATGTCCAGGCTGTATGTGTGTGAGGTGGTTGAAGCACTGAACCCAACTGCACTCCACTTATTGTGAATTTCTCTCTTGAACGAGTTTCACAGCCCTTTCAAAGCCGCCGTTATCTGCCACTTGTGTTTCTATTTCAACTCTTCCCTTCGGTCCTCGATAAAGAACAGATTCTTCAACAATTTACTTTATAGGTTTATTCTCTGTATGGAGAGAATCAGTGACTTTGCCGTCTTCCAAATGATTTTGTCGGTTATAGTATTTAATTCAGATGTTATTTACATTTGGGTTAGGGGGGATTTTTATTTTCAGAGGCTCAATTTTCGATTTAATTTGTAAGTTTGATCATCTGAATTAATACAAAAATGCTTGCCATGTCGATCACTGTGTGCCTAATCAGTTTATATGAGTTTCACTTTTTGAAACTCCTTTTCAAGTTTGAAATAACGCTTTTGTTTGTGAGGCCACTGGTACAAAATCAATAGTCTCCATGTTTGTATCAGGGGTCTAGGCTTGTTGACAAGATGCTGAAAGATTGAAAGAATAAAACAAAGGTACTGTTTAGTGTAATCCTGAGCACAAACTGGTAACATCTACTTATGTTTCATTCACTGATCAGAAAAGGATTGTGTTTCCGACCAGCTGGCTCTCATTTGGGCATCAAGTTAAAAGTTTCTGAAATGGTTAAATTCTCAGTGTATCCTTGAGTAATTAAAGTTTTTTCTATTAGGCCCAAAAATCAAAAGCAGCGATCCAGCAGCACCTCAGGACACCCGCCATCATCGGGCCAGCCCACCCAGCCCGCGGCAAAACATAAACTGGCCGAGAAGCTGGAGAAGAGCGACAAGCAGCAAAGGAGGCCGCAGACGCCCTTTCACCACCGCAACTCTGTGAGCGAGGAGCAGTCCCTGGAGCCACAAACTCCAAGACTTTGCGCGCGCCCGCAGGAGGAAGGGTCGTATCCCAGCCTGCACCACATGGACACGGTGCCCCCTAAAGCCCCCACCCTACACGCGCATGGCCCTCCATCGGACCTCGTCGGCTCCCCACCGCCACCCCCTCTCAGCCCGCATCCCTGTGATCACGGCGACCTGACGCCAGGCGGCATAAAGAACGCCTCGACGCCCATCCACCAACCGTTCTACCCGCCGTCAGTGGAGCCGTGCCTGATGCCTCAAAAGGGCTTATCAGAGGAGCCGCAGCCGGAGAGCACGTCCTTCCCCTCAAACTACAGCGAAACCTTAGAGCCCACGGTGTTTGTAGGTTCCGCGGTAAACCCCAGTGAAGATTCCACTCACAACCCCTGGAAGTATTTTAACCTCCCCAGGAAGAAAGCCTCCAACTTTTTGACGCCCCAGTTACCAGTTGATAAAACAGGAGACGATTCTGGAGGAGGCTCAGAAACAATGATCTCCGTGACCGAGTAAGACTTTCGTTTTCTTTTTAAAAGTCTTTTAAAACACCTCAAACAGGAAAGCGTGTACATGTCTTAATTATTCATCTCTTCTCAGGCTGATGTGCAGCTCCTCGCAGCCCCTCAAAGTGTCGCAAGAGCTGATCAGGACCTACACCCAGCGGAGGAACAGCCATCTAGGCTCCACCACAGAAGACGGGGAACATAGAGAGGAGTCGGACCCTTACGCCTTCATAGACGGAGACGACGAATTCAGCATTCTGGAGAAGAGGGAAAAGATTGGACCAGAGAAGGACAACAAGAAGCAGAAGGTTGGTTCCTGCAACGTCTTGGACATTCCTCATTTTTATCACGGTTGTCACAGAAGTCCCCTCAGGTGGGAGTAGTTTCTGTCGTCATCTCTTTAATCATAGAGGTTGTGTTTTCTTTTTTCCCAATGATATGAGATTTATAGTAAGAGAGATAACAAAGCAAGTATAAAAAAGCACGGATATAAATAATTAAAACTTAGTTCAGTGTTGGAACATTTATTTATTTTTACTTTTTTTCTCTCAGGTGGACGATGGGGGAACGACAACAGCTTCAGATGGTGAGAAATCCCTAGCTGTTTTTTAACTTACTTAAACAAGTTGCTCAAAGTTACCCTTACCCAATGTTTCCTTTTTATTAATGATGCTCCGCAGATGGTCAAGGTCCATCAGGCAGTAAACCTTCAGCCTCAACAAGTCTCATCCATGAAAAAGATTTGGTTGTGTCGCTCAGTGACCTAGAAAAAATGTTTAACTCTGACGAAGATGAGCAAGAGGTGAGTGATGCTTGAGAAATTGGAGAAAGCATGCCTCCAGTTCAAAATCAGCATTTAAAGAAACTGTTCAGGACATACTTGTAATGATGTACGCTGTTTTTCCTTCAGCCGGGCTCCAAAAGAGCTGGAGCCTCTACAGAGGATAAGACCAACCCTAAAGACCCCAAACCTGAGCGGTTGGATCCCCTATCATCATGTAAGTAGACGAACTATTAATGGTGATTTTTATTCGTACATCTTGGACTTTTTTCATGTTTTATTTTTTTGCATTTTGTTTGGCAAAGAGCAGCACTAGACGGTCACAATCATCCCGACTTTTAGACAAACAAAAAGCACATTGATCCTCTTTACCAGGGTCCCAGAGAACCATGCAGCCACATATTGTTGCTGTTAGGGTTGAGATACCGAAAGACATCTCTGATATCTTATGATGACCAATTTACTATTTCATAAAAACATTTAAACCTCCTATGCGGTGTCTTATTACACAGCCCACCGGGAAAAGATTTTCATAGCTAACAGTTTTAAACATGACACTGAGATAACAAGGCTCATGCCCATGGCTTTGACATGGCTTTGACATGGCTTTAAACTTATTTTTCTCTACGCCTTCAGTGTTGTTTCTGGAAGACTGTAAAGTTTTAATTGTATTCCTTTGGATGAGATTGGTTGTTAATTTTAGTTACAGCAAAGTAATTTCATATGCCAAAGTTTTAGTCTGTTAAAAGTGAAAGTTTTAGTCTGATTTACCATTAAATACAGTTACCATAAATGGAAAAACATAGTCTTAAGTGTATTATTATTTGTTTAGACATAGTAAAGTATTTTTGTCTTTGTTGTTTATTTGATGGGTTTCCTCAGCCAATTAAACATCACAATTAGGAATTTTAGCAACTAAAAGCATTTTTTTTTACTGCGATCAGCTGAAGAAACCCACTTTTAATCTCTTCATTCTCCATTCATGCGGTTTTTTACTGACTTGTTTATTATTCTGAGGAACTTGCAAATGTCCACACTTGGTGATAAATACTCTGAAACCTGAAACTCACTGTTAACAATTCACAATAATTATCAAAACCACTCATAGTTTGCTCTGAAAATATAAATTAAAGGTCACATATGAAATTGAACTACTGCTGCATTGATCTCAAGGATCAACCTTGCACAAAAAATATGAATAGATCCATTCTCACCATATCCAAGGACAGATATCATTTGGAGGTTAGAACAATGTGTTTCCATTACTATGACTGCTACTGTTGCGCAGTATGCTATCCCCGGCTAACAGTCTACACACAGCGGGAATTTCTTGATCACGAAATACTAAAATCAGACGGCTTTGGTCAGGGACAGGAGGTCTAAAATTGGGATGGTTCCTAGAAATCTGTAATAATGGTCCCCATATTGTTATGGTTTTCAACTTAAAACTATCAGAGGTTGTTGATAACGAAACGCATATAACCTGGCCTGATAAGCACATCATAACATGCAATCACATCGTAAACAAGAAGGTAAACCTTGTCTTTGTTGAACATTACACTTGCTGGTCAGCCATAAGTTGTGCAATGTTTACAGTAACACACAAAACTAATGTTAGAGCAACCACTGTAACTTGAGCCTGAAACAGACGAGACCTTTGCAGGAATATCAACACAGAACTTTAAGGTTCTGCTGTTTTTTTTTCTCCTCGTTTACATCCACATTAACCGCTGTCTCTACAGCAAATTAAATTTTATTTTGGATGAATGTTATTTAAAGAATATCCATGGATTTTTTTCCGTGGTGTCCAACCACAAAGCTTGTCTTTTAATATGTGGCGTCTGCTCTCAGGTGGTGCAAGGCGGGGCTTAATAAGCACAGGATGAGGAGTAGCATTGTTGATCCTTCAGCTTTTTATTGAGAGATTACCAGCATAAAAGGCAGAAATGTCATTTATTTTGATAGTCGGACGAATAATCAACATTTTTGTCCTCGTCTTAAGGAAAACTCGCACATCGTCGTGATTTTTAGCATTGAAAATTAAACCTCCACTGCACCTTGTGTTATCCTACATTTCTTCTCAAGGCAATTTGTTTCTCTGATTATATGTAGGTGTATAGCGTAAAGGACACCAACTCTGGTATATTAGTGCTTCCTCTTTTGACTGCTGTTTGTCAGACTTAAATTATAGTGCATAAAATGCCAGTGTTATAAGTACTGTTTTTTTTTTGGATTTTGCAACACCCAAAATAATTTTTATTCATTAATTTATTTTTTCTCTGGGTTCAGCAGACCTCTCAATGATGTATCCCACCCCGCCATCCCTGGATCAAAATGGCTACTCTCCCGGGAACTCTGGGATCAAGGACGGCCTGGAGACGGGGTCGGGTCTCATCCTTCTCGACAGCAGCCAACTCAACAACCACTTCAAGATCGAGGTGGAGGAGGGGTTCTGCAGCCCAAAGCCATCTGAAATAAAGGTGCCTATTTAATTCAAAAATACTGAATTAATCCCAAAGGGAAATGAAATATAGTTTTGTGGTTTTTGGTGAGTTGTTGTAGAAGTTAATAGTTAAGGTATAAGGGTTGTTGCAATAACTCAATATCAATGTACAGGAAAATATTCAATGCTATTTCAATACCATGGGTGTAGAAAATGACAAACATTTAAAGGTATAAAAAATATTTTTAACAGACAAATAAAAAAATCACCTGTTTTAATCTCAGCATGCTTTCTCAAGGGGTGTTTAGTAAATAAGTGTTCAAAAAAGGGCTCCAACTAATGATTATTTTGCGAATTGATTAATCTGTCGATTTTTCTTTTTTCATTTTTTTGCCCAATAAATAATTGGATAGCCAAAGGTTAATTACCTATTTAAACCAGGTGAAAGTAAAACTTTTCCACTTGAGGAGTTCTGGATAGAGCGTATTGACAGATAAAAACATTTTTTATCTTAAATACAAAATGTTTATAATTTTTTTTTCTTTTTTTTTCTTCACATTTTTGATATAAGAGGGTTTCTCTGTCAGTTAAAGGCATGTTTTAGAGTCTCTATACTCCAGTTAATGATTACTAGATTAGTTGATAATAATTTCAATAATTGATTAATCCGATTGATATTTTTGGCACTAGTTCAGATGCAAAGTAAATATCCCAAATGTAGCAAAATTTTACAATCCTTTAAGGTTGTCTGAGGTATTATTCTTTTAATGTGCAAATACTCTAGAAATTTAAAATAGCAAAGCAGCACTTGTCTTTAGTATCGATCCTGAGCCAAATTAGTATTGTATCCAGTTTAGGAATCAATATTTTTGACAACCCTCAGCTGTAGGCAGGAAGAATCTCCTGGTTAGAAGGCAACAGATCTGGGGAAGCTTCTTACTGAAGACACTCTGTCGTTTAACAGTTTTCTGAAGAGGGTGCTCAGGGTAACCATAATGCTTTTCTTTTTATAAAGTTATTATTGGTAAATTTATCTGCAGAGGTTCTAGAAGAGTTCCCAGATCAGAAACAGTCTTCCTCATCAGCTTGATGTACTTGAAGTAATCTTTCCACAATAGATGGAAGCAAGATGCTGCATATCTTACAGACATTATGTGTCAAGACATCAGTTGCAAGAATTCAGAGTGAAAATAAAACCATGTTCTACTTTTCTATTGTTTGTTTTCAGGACTTCTCCTACGTCTACAAGACAGAGACCTGCCAGTCTATGATTGGCTGTTCGATGTATGCCCCCCTAAAGACTCTACCTAGCCAGTGTCTGTTACCTGTCAAGCTGCCTGAGGACTGTGTTTACACGCCGAGCTGGACACTGGGGAAGATGGAGCTGATGCCCCCCGTATCGACCGTCGGTCTGCTCCCCAAAGACAGGTAATAACCGCTGACACGGATGTTGGCATGTCTTTAAAGATTTGGGACTTGGTTGTGATCATGGTTTCCCTTTCTGTCAACAGTAACGTCCCTAGTGTGGAGCCAGACTACAGCCAACCCTTCACCCCTCAGACCAACACGCCTTTCCTGCCTGGCAGCGCTCCACCCAGCAACAGCGGCCCCGGCATCCTTCCTTCCCCAGCCACCCCTCGCTTCTCTGTGCCCACTCCCCGCACACCACGCACTCCACGCACGCCCCGCGGCCCGTCCAGCGTCCAGGGCTCACTTAAGTACGAGAACTCGGATCTTTATTCCCCAGCCTCCACGCCTTCCACCTGTCGCCCCCTCAGCTCCGTGGAGCCGGCCACCGTGCCCTCCATTCCTGAGGCTCACAGTCTGTACGTCACCCTCATACTCTCGGAGTCGGTCATGAACCTGTTTAAAGACTGCAACTTTGAGAGCTGCTGCGTGTGTGTCTGCAATATGAACATCCGCGGAGCAGATGTGGGCGTTTACCTCAAAGACAACGGGGAGGACCAGTACCCTTGTACATGCGGCTTCAGCGCTGTCACCAACCGGCGATTCGGCCAATCAGCCGGACTCTTTCTGGAGGACGAGCTAGATGTGGTGGGACGGGGCTCGGATGCAGGCCGAGACACTGAGCGACGTTTTGATGAGCTTAGAGGCAGTCTGAAGGAGAAGCCTCCAGATGAGCTGATCCTGCTGCTGCAGGATCAGTGCACCAACCCACTGGCTCCGATGGCGGGTATGGAGTGGCCCAAGCTGAGCTCAGCTCCCAGCTCCTTCCTTAGGGTTGAAGAAAGAGACTGCTATAATGACTGCTACATGGCGCTGGAGCATGGCAGGCAGTTCATGGACAATATGTCAGGAGGCAAAGTGGATGAAACACTAGTGAAAAGCACGAGCCTTCATCAGTGGCCAAAATGCAAATGTAAACATAATTTTGGTTCCTTTTTTGTTTTACAGTCAACATGATTATTTTCCTCCTGTTTAATTTGACATTAAAACTAGTTTTTTCTTCCTTTAGCTGCAGACATGAGTAAGCTATTCTCTCAGGATGTTCTGCGGGTGCTGTTGTCGCTCCAACCTGCGCTTCAGGACACCATTCAGAAGAAGAGTGTGCGTTCATGGGGCGTTCAGGGACCACTCACCTGGCAGCAGTTCCACAAAATGGCTGGGAGAGGCTCTTACGGTACGTAGAAACTAAGGTTTATGGAGGTTTTAGTAGAAGGTTAGTCGGCGAGACAGGGTTCCAGAACACAATGAAGGAAGGGAAAATCTGTTAGAGTATTAATTTAGTCTGGATGAAAAAAAAAAAAATAGAAACTTCATGAAGTTGATACCGTTTTCCCGTCCCTTTGTCTATGTAGACTATTTCCTATTTTGCTATTGAATTGGGACCTGGGGCTCTAATATAGATTCACACCAAATTTATAATGCTCATTGGACTTTTAGTTTAGCTTTTACAGTCTTCAGTATGTAGAAAATTCTAGGCTTTCTCACACAGGTTTCCTGGAATAATACGGTCCTCTTGCTCATAACTTAAAAATATAAAAGCTGTCAGCATTAGCTTTTGCCAAAGAACTAAGCCACCTTTCAATATCTAGCAGTTTTGTACAATAATGCATTGAGTGTTTAATAAAAATTTAAATAGGTAACCTGCCAAAAACTGTTACAGTTTACGTTATTAAATCAAAGCTTGAATAAAGAAAAAACATAAACAAAAGTCCACTGTTTATTTACACAATTTGGGTAGATGATAAAAAGCTAAATCCAAAGGCTCAGTGTGCAAAATATTTGTGTCAATATTTAGAACTTCATTATAAAGAGAAATTCATGTGTTTTTTTGGAGCTATGACTCTTAGTTATCCTAGAATAATACTCTGATATATATATATAATATATATGCGACATTAGGTTCCTCCTCAGTCTTCCAGGGCAGGAGGCTGAAGAGGGACCCTCCTCTGCTGTCTGTGGCTGCAAACCACAGCATGACCATTGCATGGCCCTTCACTAGAAGGCATGATAGAGGGCTCGTAATGACACAAATAACCAAATAATATATTTATGAACAGATATATGAAACTATTACAGCGTCATAGATTATCGTTTATATATTTGAAAACTGTAAATATCTGAAAATTTACAAAGATAGCACTTCACCAACTTTGAGTTTTAAAACATCAGAAGGTTTTTTTTTTATGCTTTTTTTTAATCAGTCACCAACCTGTTATACCTTCCATACTTTCCTAAACTGGTGTAAACTTTTGCAGCCTCTATACATTTAAAGCCTGAGCCTTTGTGTGAAGTGTGATGTTTTGATTTGTGAATATAGGAACCCTGATTACCAATCTTGTGTATTTATTTTATTTTTTTCATGTTTCACTGCAGGTACAGACGAGTCTCCGGAGCCTCTGCCCATCCCAACCTTTCTGGTTGGTTATGAGTATGATTTTATGGTGCTGTCTCCTTTTGGTTTGCCCTATTGGGAAAAGCTGCTCCTGGAACCTTTCGGATCCCAGAGGGACGTGGCCTATGTCGTCATCTGCCCGGAAAACCAGTCGCTGCTCCGTGGAGCCAAAACCTTTTTTAAAGATCTAAGTGTTATGTATGAGGTATGCATCCCAAGAACCCGTTTAAACTCTAGTTATAGGTAGTCTGGAAAATTATGGTATTATACAACTAGGAAAATATACATTTGCATCAAGTTGTATTAAAAAAAAAAATTATTATTGAAATTGTTTCTATAATACAAACACTGCCATTCTGTAAACAGGCATGCCAGCTGGGGCAACACAAACCCATCTGCAGGAGCCACCCAGATGGGGTCCTGACAGTCGGCTCCCCGGAAGGCAGGAGCCTAACGGAGCAGCCCATCAGTGACTGGTTCCTCAAGATGGCTGCCAGGGACGGAAATAATGAAGCATTTAATAAGCTCAAACTTTTTGCTCAAGTGTGTCGCTATGAATTAGGTAATGTATTTCCAAAGATGTAAAATAGAATGTTTATTTTTAAGAGTGATGGATCATTCATTTCTTTTTTCTGTTTTTTTTGTTTTTTGTTTTTTAGCTCCAAACCTGTCGGAGCTGTCTTTGGATAGCTCCCTCTTGTCACAACGCCATCCCACCAAGCCTGCCTCGCAGACTCCCAACTCTTCCAGCGTCTCCTCAGGACTTCAGAGCACCAACACTACCAGCACCAGCTCCACCCAGCCAGCGCAGGTCAACAGTACCCCTCCCTCCTCTTCATCATCAGGCTGTCAAACTAATGGAAATATGGCCTCAGGCAAGCCAAGCTCCTACCTGCCATTTGGGGCAGGAAGCTTGCAAGGCAGCACTACTCAGAACGGACCTCAGTCAAACTCGCAAAGCGCCGGTGGTCTGAGTGAAAACGGGTCCAGCCAGCCTCAGGTCTCCGCAGAGACACAGGAGAGGTGTGTGAGCTCTTGTTCTTGGAAATACATTGATAAGACGTTTGTGTTTTATTTCTGAAAGCCAGTTTTTATAAAGATCAGACCTGCTGGAACTGATTACCGTAAAAGAACAAAGTCTGTAAGGAACAGAAGAACCCAACATGTGTGAGAGCCAGCTGCTGTAAAACATAAAAACAAACTTGGTTTAGCCGTTCACATTAGGGTTTATACTGTAGATCCTGATATGACTCCTGAGATTTCTTGACAATATTTCTTAGTCAACTATGTTCTAAGATGGGAAATGGTAGAACGTTCTAAAAAAAATCAATAGAGCAGCTTCTGATTTAATTTGTTTAGCTTTCCTAATATCTGCTGAAGTCACTGCATTTAGTTCTCTCAGTATGAATGGACTTTTTGCAGCTGGTTCCTTTAAAGACCTAGAAAATGTAAAGTATGACATAACCATGAACTAAAAATTACAGAGGAGAAAAGGCCAGTTCTATAATTGCACCTTGATTTATATAAATGAAGTCACTGATTTTTATTTTTTTTTTAACTTCTTTCTCCTGTTTTGAATAGCACAATGGATAGAGACAAAGTGGGCAAGCCGACAGATGGAGAGTCCCATGCTGTTTCTTACCCACCTGCCATAGTGGTCTACATCGTTGATCCCTTCAGCTATGAAACCGCAGACAAAGAGGTCCACTCCAGCACTTACACACTGGGCCTGCTGCGCTGCTACATGGAGATGCTCCCTTTCCTACCTGCTCACATCAGAAACGCCGTCTCCGTACAGGTATGGTGGTTTTTCTGTGCTGCTGTCATTAGAGAAGACGGGGGAATAATTAGCAGTGACTAATTAAGGTGGAAACTACCCCCACCTGAAATACATTGACACCAAGTTGCATCAACACACCAAGGGGAATTCTAAAACACAAGAGGTCTGGATATCTGAGCTAATGGCTCAGTGTCGGCACAACAGCTGCAACAGATACTGAAATAAATAGAATCTATGATGTGTGCAACACTTCTGATATTGGGGAAAGTGCGTTTGGGTTTATGCAAAAGTTTGGTAAATAATCAGAATCAAGGGATCAGTGGACTGAGGGTTTGTGTTTAACTAAGGAAAAATACAGAGATGGTGTAGAAAACAAGCTGCCCCCTCATTGCTTTCATAGGGGCTAAGAGTCACTGCAGAGTGCTGCTTGTTAAAAGAAAATTAGATTTGGTTTTCTTGGATCAGAACCTTAAAGGTTTGTGTGTCTTTACGTCTTGCGTTCATCATAAACTCCTGTCTGTAGATTTCCATGGTCAGACCTTTACTCCCCTCCTTTTTTATGTCAAGTTTTGAAACGGGCAGAAAGAACACTGAAATTGTGGAAAAAGTACGAAATTAAACCGAGACTTCTTAACACAACCTTTTATTATAAATTGATAGTAAACTTTTAGAAATGGACGGACACAGAAATCTGAAAGTTGGTATGGATATATGTTTGGAAACCAAGGCTCATATATTCAAATCCAAATTAAGGCCTAATAACAAAGGTATAGGTCTGATTTTTAGGCTTGATTCTTGCCTTTTAATCCATTAAGGTTGGTTTTCAAAATACTAAATGAAAGTTTTTGGTGTTTTGTTTTTTGTTTGTTCTTTTTTAATTCAATTTTAATTTTATCTCAATTTGTTTATAGCTTAATTTTAGACTTTAGGATTTATTTGCTCTTTATTTTCCTCAGATTGTTCCCTGCCAGTACCTCCTGCAACCAGTGCACAGTGGTGATCGCCACAACTACAGCCAGCACCTGAAGTCGTTGGCCTTTTCCGTGTACACCCAGTGTCGTCGGCCTCTGCCAAATTCAACAAACTTCAAGGCCTTGACGGGCTTTGGGCCCGGGCTCGCCCTCGATATGGCCCTGAAGAACCCGGAGGTGACTGCTCTAATGTTTGGTCATGTTAATTATAAAAAAAAACTCCTTGATGTTTGGTCTTAGAAACTGAGCATCTTTTTCTCCCCTTCATGTGCACAGCGGCCGGAGTGTCTGCGATTGTATACGCCATCTTTCATCTTGGCTCCAGTCAAAGACAAGCAGACTGAGCTCGGGGAGACGTTCGGCGAGGCGTCGCAGAAGTACAATGTGCTTTTTGTAGGCTACTGCCTGTCTCATGACCAGCGCTGGTTGCTGGCGTCCTGCACCGACCAACATGGGGAACTGCTGGAGACCTGCATCATCAGTATTGATGTACCCAACAGGTGTGTGGTCTCTCAGCAAACTAGATGCATAGCTAAAAGCAGCGGGATCGCCTGACTCCTCGACACTTAACTGCTGTCGTGTTTATGTTTCTGCCCAGGGCTCGCAGGAAAAAGAGTTCTGCCAGACGAGTGGGCTTACAGAAGCTGTGGGAGTGGTGTGTCGGCCTGGTTCAGGTGACATCACTGCCGTGGAGAGTGGTGATTGGGCGGCTTGGCAGGATAGGTCACGGCGAGCTGAGAGGTACGCTGTTAACTAGGCAAGATGTAGACTTCCTGTAAGTTCTTTAACACAGAGAAGAGTTTTATTTCAAGATTTCCATAAGAATTCTAAAGCAGTTTTTCCTGCTGTTATGAGACCTGTTGTTCCTCTTTATCAATATTTCAAAATAATAAAATACTACTGATGTTGTTCTGTATAAATCTAACAGCTCTCCCATTTTTTTTTTGCTCTGACATCTGACAAGCTTCTGACTTGGTCCCATTTTTATTCTATCTTTACATGCGTTGTTCTGGACAAAATATTTATTTTAAAGTTCCCACTCCTGCTGGACTCTATGCATTTAGAATTACAATTTTGTAATACAGCTTAATCTGCGACTAAACACCATTTTTGCTATCATATTTTATAATTTACTTGACTTTTAGGGAGAATATTGAGGTTATTTAAAGGAAACTGGGATTCTGATATAGAAATAAGCTTTTTGTTTCTTTTAATTAATTTCCCTATGGCACAAATTAAACTATGATCGCTCGTTTTAAAGCACAAATCCGTGGAAACGACCATCCTTTTTTTGGTGGGTAGTTTCACAGCAGGAAGCAGTGAGATCGTTTTACCAACCGTGGCCCCCTCATGCACCGTTAAGTACTTTTACCATTTAGGAAGAGCAAGAACTGAAATGCATGGAATTAATAGACTGAACTTCTTGAACTTTCGATCAAATGGCTAAATAATCAGCGTATTTATGACGCTTCCCTCATAGCCATGTGTCTCTTGTAAAAGATCTTTAATCTGTCTGATGAGCCGGGTATAATAAAAATTTGAAATAATTAAGTTTAGGCCTTACGGTTTTGAATATGTCCAGATTTCTTTGTAGTGGGTCTAAAATGTATATGTTCTTTACTTCTTCTATTCTTCTTTCTTTTTTTTTTTTAACATCGGCCACAGTTGGTTTTATTAGAATAGTTTATATTTAACAAAGTTGGACTTGGAAACACTGTTTTCATGCTTGACAAGTAGTGTGTAAAGTGTGGATTACTTTGTAATTTCAATTTAAAACATTTAACTCTCGTACCGGAGCTGAAAAGTATGAAGGAAAAAAAAAAATGACAGTTCAGTTTTACTCACTGAAGGAAAGTTGACTGTTTTTATTTATATGGGTCTTAAAGTCCTAATCTTTTTTGATTAACCTTTATCCGTCTTCATGTTTCAGACTGGAGTATCTTGCTGAGTCGGACAAATTTGCAGTCTCTCAGTAAGCGCCTGAAGGAGACATGTAGGATGTGCGGCATCTCTGCTGCCGACACACCCAGCATCCTCAGCGCCTGTCTAGTTGCCATGGAGCCACAGGGGTCCTTTGTGATCATGCCAGGTAAAATGAGTTTTAAACTTGCATGGGAAACTATCTGATCTTGTAGATGATATTTTTAAAACGATTAAGCTCTTTGTATCTCCTTTGTTAGATTCCGTCTCGACGGGTTCAGTGTTCGGTCGCAGCACCACTCTCAACATGCAGACATCCCAGCTGAGCACGCCGCAGGACACGTCCTGCACACACATTCTGGTGTTCCCCACGTCGGCCATGGTGCAGGTCAACACTAACACTTCCGAGCCTATCGACATCAGCTTCAACCCCATTAACCCTGGTAGGTCTCGTCCCTGAGTGATTTATTATAGAGTCTCCATTGTTAGGACCTGCTGATGTCAAACCGTTTTCCTTCCCCTCTAGACGGCTCTGAAGGGATGGGTATTTTTGACTTGTTTGTTGGCGACATGGATCCAGAACTCATCAACATACTGCCTAACTCTCCAACCACCTCTCCTGTTCACTCTCCGGGTCACCACTACCATCACGGAGGAGACGTAGGCAAGGTCTGTCAAACCTCTGATGTAATATTCCTTGAATAAAGTAATATTCATGAAATTACTGGCTGCACATGTTCAGATTGCGGATTTTTCTTCCCTCCACAAGTGATCAACTTGATTCTTGGAGATTTATATTTCTTCATACAGCGCAGACAGATTGGGGGTTTATTGAGAGACTGCACGGTTTTAGTGGCCACCAAAAAGATCATCCTATTATTCTGAAAGGATGTTTGATAATTCTACTTTTCCATCATTTAAACTGGTTGTTTTCTTGTCCTTTTCCATCTTAGAGATGTCCAATATATTACGTTTAAGTATTGTACCAACCACAGTGTAGTTTTGTGAAAATTCCTGAATTAATATGAAAAAATTTGCTGATTATTCACAATGAACACCATTGATATTAACTTCTGTTAATGCTTTTAGTCTGTTCTACTATCATGCAGCCCTCAACCTTGAGTTTCAGTAGGAGACTCATTTCAGTTAAAATCCACTGAGGTCATGATCAAAGCCTCCTGGATAATTGAGCTATTTTACCAAAGTAAAGTTTATTTCCAGGAGTTAAAGAGAGGCTTTAAAAAATGAGGATTATCAGTCAGCGGTGACAACATATCCTGAGGTTTTTCTGTCTAGGAAACGTTGCACAGTGGATGGAATAAACTTTTTTTTGTGAAATCACCAGCTTCACACGTCACAGGTTGATATTCTGTTATCCAGTCGGAATTACACCTGAAGCTGCTGCTAGCATCAAAAAGGGACGTGTCTGTAGTTTTATAAAGCCACAATGGAAAGAAGCGTTTAAATAAATTTTTAAAAGCCTGATATGAACTTCATGATCTCCCAGTAGAAGATGAGCATTGAGAGATATATTTATCATTTTTTATTATTGTTTAGTAGCTTCTTCTTTGTCAGCCCATAAAATGATCAAAGGTCTGGGCGAAGAATCTGACAGTTCATATGGTTTGTGGCGTGCAGGGCCAGGGTGCGGATCGGATGGAGTCCCATGAGGAGGCTCTCAGCATCCTGCAGCAGCCGATGGCTCTGGGTTACTTCATTTCCACAGCGAAGGCGGGGCCACTCCCTGATTGGTTCTGGTCCGCCTGTCCTGAAGCTCAGAACCAGTGTCCGCTCTTTCTGAAGGTAAACATATCATTCATACCTTCCTTTTTTCTTGATCTTTTGTTTTGGAAGCCAAATGACTAAATTTGTCTTCCTTTTTTATTGTTTTTCCAGGCGTCTCTACACTTGCACGTGTCGTCCGTCCAATCAGACGAGCTTCTGCACAGTAAACACTCCCACCCCCTGGACTCTAACCACACCTCTGACGTGCTCAGGTAGGAACCCACCTGTCTGATCTAATAGGAACAAGGAATTCTGCAGCTTAACCAGAGCTAACATCCTTTTCTTGCCATTTTGCTTTTCTTTAGATTTGTCTTAGAGCAGTACAACGCCCTCTCCTGGCTCACATGCAACCCTGCCACCCAGGACCGGCGCTCATGTCTGCCTGTTCACTTCGTGGTGCTCACACAGATCTACAACTTCATTATGAACATGCTCTGAAAGTCTTAAAGAGATCAAACCGCTGATCGGAGGAATCGCTAAGGAACGACAGACTTTGTGCTCCTCACACTCCCTTCGCGGGGGGCGGGGTGTAGAGAGAAGGTGCTCTCTTCCTTCTCCCTGGTCGATTTCTTCAAACGCTGACTGGAAAGTCCCACCTAATCAATCAAATGCCAAGAACACATATTAGCATTTTGGATGATTGAGGGATGTTTCATAAAGGAGAAAACTTCTTTTTAATGACAGTAGATTGCAATCTAAGAAATTTTATCTTAATAAAATGCCTGCATATATTATTTATTGTAAGTTTTTAAATGTATTTGAATTTTTAATGCTTAATATCTTTTATATATTACAAATCCTAGAGGGTGTGTACATCTTGCTGTAAAGGAATTGGTTTTAAAAATTGTAATTTTTTTCTCAATTAGAAGACGGAAAGAGAGACCTGTTCCAGTGAATTTGCTGTAGATTGCTTTTAGAATCTTATTTTTCCAAAGGGGGTACAGACCTTTTTATTGACATGCTGTAAAAAACTGGTCTGGGCATTTTCTTTTTTTTTTGTGTCCCACCTGAGTGGATGAGACTTACCTCTCTGTCTGTCTCTCTCGCACAGTAACTCAATGAGCTCTGAAGAGGAATAAAAGGTACATTGTCAGATTATATATTTTATATAACAGATTTAGGTAATTGTGTGTGTATATGTGTACATATATACCTGTGTGCCGCTACTGATGGTGCAGCTTCTGTTTTAGGAATAAAGTGCGTCTACCTTACAGGATTTTGGTGTTTGCTTTTGATGCTAAACCTGGAATTGAACTAAAAAAAAAAAAAGAGTTCTGACATTAGTTTTAAATTTAATTTTAAAGATATAGTGAACGGTTTTTGCAGATTCCGGAAACTACCCGCCCTCTCCACACAAAAAATAAATGGACATACATCATCCTGCCGAACTCCTATTAAACACGTGCGAGAGCATGCACAAGCTCATTTCTCCTTGTGCACACTCTGTTGCTGTTTGCATTGCTCATACAAGCTTAATTTCCAAAAGAAGATTTGCAATTTTTCCACTATGTCAGACTCGCCACCGGTAAGTGAAAATGGGGACGAGCACGTAGGATGGCCTTATGTAAGCATATCACCAGAATGATCGACAACGAGGAGGACAACTTATTTGATGATCCACCCTGAAGAAGAGCATCCTCCACTATACCTTTAAATCTACAGGAACTTGCAGGAATATACATAAAATTTACTAATTGAGATTTTTCATATTTGTCACAATGTAGTTTATTGGGACACTATGACATACACTGAGATAAAGATGACTGTTTTCCAGGTGAAATATTGTATCAAAATCAGCAAGATTCAATCATTCAAATAACCTGCAAAAGTCAAATTTTAAATCTAAAATAAAGCGATAAAAGTATCATGTTGTAAAATTTGTCACCTGAAAGGAAAAGATTTCAGACCTACCATACAAAAAGCCGTTTGCATTAACAAGACAGGGAAAGGTAGCATTGAATGTAGAAGCTGTCAGAAGATGGCTGTAAAACATCCATTCTAACTATTAATATCAAATGTAGAAAACTGGATAGATCTAAATAAAATCCTCTCTTTCAGCTAACGATTAGTGAAACATGGTGGCAGCATCATGTTGAGGAGATTTTTATTCTCTCTGTCAAGATAAAGAGGGCAAAGCTAATAGTAGATACCGTATGTTCGTTTGCAGAAGAGTGGAGCAGAAGTTCCCCTTTGAGCACCGATGGAATTAATTAGATGTTTTGAACTAGAATAAAAATCTTGTGCATCAAAGTATATAATTGTGTTAGAAAAGCCAATTATCCATTAAGTCTGGACTTATTTGCAAACAAGACTGTGGAAAATTACGATCTTAAGATATCAGAAAACAGGAGATTCTCTTAACTCACTGAAGCTTGTTCTACAAAGACTGAGTCGGGAGGATTGGACATATTTGACATCTGAAGTCCATGATCCCATCTGTCTGTATTCAAGATTATAGTTAGGCCAAGTATGATCTATATCCCTGGCATTTGGACTGAAAAGTGTTTTCATTTAATCAAAACATTTGCTTATTTCCAGAAAATAAGATGGGCACCACTCACCACACAGGACTGTCAATGTAAAGAAATAATCCATCTCTATATGTTATCTGTTTATTGGTGCTATTAATAATAGGATGTTGAAAAATTATGAAATGTCTTGATTAATACCTCTTCTAATAACTCACCAGCTTTTGAAATGCTTTCTCTGATGTTTTAAAATAAAAAAAGGCTTTCCTACCATCACCCTAATCTGTAACTTCCTCTAGATTCTCCATCAGATTAATGTCGAAAAAAGGAAGTCTACTTTCCAGCCAGAAATCCGTTTGGAGAATAAAAGAATAACTTTTAACTTAAATCAACCATTATCTGTCTATCATTCTGTTTGTACTTTCAGATTAGAGAAAATACAACAAAGAAAATGTATCTAGGCTACCTATTTCTACTTAAAAATATTTGCTCACTAGAATTGGAACAATACAGGAAAATCATTAAAAGCTCCAAATGTAAATCTGACAAGTAGATATTCTGGAATAAAGAAATAATTGTTTTTTAAAACTGTTACAGGCAAATGATCTACAATATTCCAAATACAAAAAAAATGCACCATTAGGTTTTAAAATGCTTTCATGTTGGAATCGGTTCTTTTTTATGCACTAATGAAAACACATAAGAGTTTGAGGCGTGAAGCTGATTTACATCTCTACCAGCACACTGTGGAGACGTTGCTTATCACAGGTAAAGTTCTGTACTCTGGGCAAACAGTGCAGCAGCTTTAACCCTGCCCACACTAACAGGATTTAAGAGAATAGAATTAGCTAACCAAGGAGAACATGTGATCACAAAGCTTCAGCCAATCACCTTCTTATGTTCCTCTTAATGGAATCCAGATGAAGGGTAGCCCATAGTGTCTTTTTCACTGGACGTTCTGGACAAACGGCCCTCAGATGGGCCCCAGAATTCCATCCATCCATCGTCCATCCATCTCTCTGCCCATGCATCTGTCCATCCAGCTGTCCGTCAGTTGTTCTTTTTGAATCACCCAAACCTGAGGGTGATTCAAAAAGAACAACTGACCTAATTTAATGACAAATAAATGATATTATAATGTATAGATCACCGCTATGTACACAGGGAGAACATGCAAACTTCAAGCACAAAAGACCAATATTGGTATTCAATGTAGGGACCTCCATGGCTACGCAAATAATTTCAAACCGTAGAGCTCATTGTCCTTTTGATTAGACCAGCTTGTTAATAGATACAATAGTTACATTATCTGTTTTTGTAATACATGAGGGCTCTGTTTAGAGGGAAAATTACCATATAATCCAAAATTAATCCAGATGATCTTTCTAATTATCTATATTTAAACTGAGCACTAACAGACTGACTGTTGCGGATTTAAAAAACTTAATATTTTCTCAAAGCTTTGTGCAAAAATGTCCATATATTCCCACTTCTCATGTTAGCTGTGAGTTGTTTTTATATATAGTCTCCAGGACAAATAAAAAGGGGGAGAACATTTTATAATACATTTTATTTAAATCACTATACTATTTATTCATGTGGCTATACTAACAAATTTCTGTTGTTTTTTAAGCGATGGGAATATGAGATGCTAAGTAAAGAAGTCCAGTTTGGGTTTTAAAATGTAGCAAAATCTGTCAGAAAATCAGAGTTAGTAGAGCATGAAATAACACGTCGCAGCCTGCTGATAAACAAAGCAGATCAGCTGGCTTCACATTTCCTTTGTTGAACAGAAACATTTTTGGTGGTTATTTTAATGTTTCTGGCTCCAGAGCTGCAGGTCTGCATGCTCTACCCGACTAACTAACCAACTAGTTTGTTAAGCTTTTAATAAGAGAATAAGAGCAGAACATTAAGAGGGTGTACTGATCTTTCTGCACTTATACCCAAAAAAACTTCAACTTATCCACCAGCAATGTAAATGTATAGATTTAGCTATTTTACATCTGAGAGAAAGATAGCTCAGCTAGAAAAAGAATGACCCACCAGTTATTGGAGTTTGGTTTAACTCCAGGGCACAGTGTATAGCCTTGGAAAAAAATAACATATTTGATCAAAAACAGAAATGATTTATATGAAGAAATATGGAAGCCATTTAATAACTACATTAATCACAATAACATTGGTCATTTATTACAGGAGGTGTAACTGTCTTCAAACTTTATTTATACTTTTGTTCCTGTTTTAACTGTGTATTGTTGTAAAGACTAACCTATGTATGAAGTACAGTAATATATACTGGATTTATGGGTGACTTGTAATATTTGTTTTACATTTAGATTAATCCTTATACATTATTGTTACTGATTCTTATATGGGAGAAGAGAGAGGAGTGAGAGGAGTGGGGTGGGGAACAATTGTTAAAAAGTATGTTGATTTTTGTATCATAAGAATTAATAAACATATTGTTCAAAAAATTGCAGAGATTAAAAAAAAGCTTTTAAGTATGCAAGATGGAAAAATAAATGGAGATGAATAAAGGGAAATTCTGGAAATAATAAACAAGCTTGGAAGCTCTAATTGACTTACGACTGGGACAACGGTTCATCTTCCAACAGATCAAAAACCCAAACATAAGGCGAGAAGGGAAATATTTGGGTCAAGGAAAGTTGATGGTATAGAGTGGCCTAGTCAAAGTCCAGACCGAACTTTAAATTTCCATTTGCAGTTCCTCTCCATCAGCTTTCAGAAAGAACAGGCTCAGGATGGCTGAACTCAGTCTTGTCTTGATTTTTCTTTAAAGCGCATTATGGAAATTACTATGATAATCACCACTTTGGCAAGGCATCAAATAAACTGCTTGAAATCCATAGTAAAAACAAAGAATAAGGTTGAGATTAGTGAAATATAAAGATGTGATCAGGTCAGTATTTGGAGGAATGTTTTGAATAAAACTAGCATTGCAGTTAACCTAATTTCTCACTTTTTTCAGATACGACGGAGCAGGGCGCTACACTTTTACATCGCATGGAGGATATATTATCACAAATGGCTCAAGGTATCAATGACTAAAAAGATGTACCTGTTTCAAGATTTTTCCTAACTACTTTTATAGTAAAAAATTGTTCATGCTTATAATTTGACAAACAGTGTGACAGAAATACCAGAGTCTTCCTGAAGAGATATTACCCAGGTTTGCTATCACAAGTCTGTCCAGCTCAGAGCAACCTAAAGAAACCCAGTCCTCCTCCAGACACCCGTATTTAGGTGAGATTTATTCAAGCAATACATAAAACTAGAATTAGTCTGTTTATTAAATGTACTTTTCTCTCATTGCTTAAATTTTGCATATGGAAGAATTAGAACTAGAATAAAAGGAAACATCAGCCGCGACAGACAAGATCTACCAGAACCACATCCATATAAACCTGCTTTCCACCTAAACCATGAGATTCAGCAGGACAATATCAGCAGGGGAAATATGAAGTGTCCAGTTAAGCTGCTTCTTAATGACAACCTGGATCTTGAGAGAAAAAAAGAGCTGCCATACTGACCCAAAGTTGAGCCCACCTTTCTGGGATCCAGAAATAATGCATAAAGGTACAGAGAGCAAAGCAGCTGATTCAAACAGAAGAAACATCTGGAGGCCTGCGGGTGTGATGAGGTGAAGAGGCCAAAGCAGGAAAGTAAAGACAACCATTTTGGCCTGTCTTCATTCACTGCAGCTTACATTTTTCCCTG